CGCTCAGCTGTCTTTAGTGTAAATATTTCCTCAGTTACCTGTTCTTAGTTATCTTCATCTTGCTTTTTAATCCTCACATTGCATGCAGATCCCGAGATTTACCCTTCTGTGCCTTTTTCCTTGTAACAGTACTGTTCTTGGGGGTGGGAGTCAGTTCATGTCTGTGCACAGAGGTTTGAAAACACACATCAAGTGCAGCATTCCTGCTCTGCACTAAAATAGCTAGAGAGCATGCAGCTCTTTCCTACCACTCCATACATAATTTAAATATTGCAGTGTTGCAAGGGCAGGAGAGCCCTAAACTACTTTGGTGGGTTTGATTCCTCTGAGTTATGTCTCATTACTGTTAAAGATATCATTTCACACATTGCCGCAGTTGAGTTCCACTCAGGTAACATGCGTCTAAACTGGCTGTATATCTGTGTAAAGGATGTATTGTTGTGTATATTAAAGGTGTTAACTAACTGTGCATACATATGTTTCAACCCTTAGCTTGGCTTCCAAAATTCTAATTTGCCTGTATTTTACTTTTATAGTAGGTGATTCTAACCTACTTATTAAATTCAATGAGCAATCATGCTGGCTAGCTGCTGTTTCTGCATTGCACACTTGTGCATACAGTCATCAGAAATTATGCAAAACATGAGAAAAAAATGCAAGCATGCAGAACTCATAATGCCTTGGAATAGTCAAGAATCTTTTAGCTGGAACATCTTTCAGCTATCAATTAATCTGTACTGTTCTTACCATTATTATTATTTATTGCTTTCTCCAGGGAAATGTTCCTGGAAAGACACAACATCAATCATGATCAAATAGTGATTTCCAGTGATATCTTCAAGATACTGTGGCTAGTTTTGAGGTTGATGTGTTTATAAGATTAAATGGACCAATTTTGAGGTTTCACAGACATCAATGTGAACTGATCTTCCTGTAGTTTTCATGTGACTTTGTTGTACAGGCAGTTCTCAGACAGACAGATGTCTGTTTCTCTGTGTTAGGTACAAGACACAAGCAATGTCAGAAGCTGCTTCGTTTCTAAGCCTAATGTGGATGTGTGGATCACCCAAATAGGCTTTACATTTGATGAGTCTGACAGCATGTTAGTGTGGCTCTGTATATATTCCTCAGCCTCTTCGCCCTCTCCCATAGTCCTCTCTTCCTCTTTCGTGTACCTGGCCTTAAAAGTTAAGCCTCTCATCATCGTTTTTAGCTGTCATGTGCTCTTCCATTTAAAAACTCAGGTTTTCCACTCTACCTATGCTTACTTTGCTCTTACGCCAGAGAGCTGCAGAGTTTGGAGGCTGGCCTCCCAGGCACAACGTCATGGGCTAGTGCTGTTGCTGCACAGCCATGGTTGTTTTCAGTATTTCTGTGTACAAAGTATTTCAGCGTGAGATGAGAACAGAACAGGAGGCTTCTGTATTCATACCTGGTCATCTGGATGGTCCTGGGACTCTGGACAGCTCTGTTGTCGCAGCCCTGTGGACTCAGGAAAATTCTTTTATTTACCCATTACTTCCTTGCTACAGTGAAAACAACAAAAGATCCAGCTTAGAGAACTAGGGTTAGAGAAAAAAACAAAGTTCTCCTTACAAAGAATTCTACTGGCCACTGTTCAAGGCATATAATGAGAAGAAATAAGAAAAATAGATGGCTTTGCAAGCTGTTAAATAGTTCCAATACTTACATTCAGTCTTCTTTGATGTGTACAGGAGAAATAATAAATATTCCATAAACTCTTCTGTTTACCATACCATCCAAAGAATGATTAATTTTTCTTGTTATCTGTTCAGGGCTTATTGGTGCTGTTTATGGCAGGTGTTCTTTGTACTAGAATCACAAAGAAGGTAGAGTGACTATCCTTGGTGAGTCTTATGTTGCTTTGAACACAAAGGCTGAGCATGAGAAAAAGCAATAGCATTAGTCACTTGGGTGTGCAATGGCCAATAATCAGAAAATTGAAAACTACTACTGCTGGATTGTAATATCTCATTTAGTGCATATAAGACATGGAAAGGCAAAGCATGGTCAGCACTGACATAAGCACTGACTGCTTATTTGTACATTTTATCATATCCTATTGATTGGCGGTTGATTTCTTGGTCATCTGCTCCTTATATATGTTATGTTTTAGTAGTGCATAATATAATGGCAGCAAATTGGATGAACTGAATTTTAATTTTCATCTGCATTTAATCACTGCTGGCTAGGTTTTGTTATGCTTCATCAAGATTTAGCTACAATTTCATTTTTATGTAAGTAAATAAATAAATATTAGGCCATACCAAGTAGCAATGAAGACAGTTAGGTCCCAGTCCTGCAGCTGAATTCTTAAGAACTCCTGTCTGTCTTACTGAAGTTAGCTGTGTTTTGATGGCAGTCATAACTCCACCCTTGAGAAACTGGAAACAAAGTCAAGGTCTGGCAAAGGTCTTGAGAGAACCTAGGCAAAACATTTCCAAGGTAGTATTGTGGGCTTTGGCTCCATCCTCTGTCATTAGAACAGAGCCTTCATTCATACAGCTGAGCGGAAAAAAAAAAGCCCGATTTTTGTTAAAGCAGTATATCTACTTGTCTGGATGTTCATAGCCTCTTTCACTCTAATAATCTTTGATGTCCTTACTGAAAAGGAAAGAAAAGAATATATAACTTTAGAACAGTCTACTCCTTTACAGTAATCCAGGTGTTGCTTTTTACCAAATCGACAATGAGCCTTTTTGATAATTTGTACGCCTAGAAAAGGGACTCAAGACTATGTTCCAGGTAAATATAATAGATGTGGCATTGAATGTCTTGCCTTTGTCACTGTTGGGTTATTTTTGGTATCTCGCATACAATAGAGGATGGTTCATTCACTGAAAAATGAATCCGCATGTAATAGAAAATCAATTGATGGCTATCATAGCATCTCCCACTAGTCATCAGCACATGAAGCCCTATTTTGTAATTAACAAAGCTGAAAAGGAGGAACAATATAAATGTGCTCACTTTTTTAGAAACAGCTTATAACTTTTTATTTCACAAGGTGATAACTGGAGTCAGCAATAATGATTGCCCACTAAGATAGAAGGGATATCTTCAATACATTTTATGAAGTTTTCCAAGAGATGTGCTGATCATGATAAGTTGGTATATTCTTGTCCTGAGATAGAAAGAGGAAAGGAGAGAGAAGAAGAAGCTCTACTCATATACACAGGACAATTTATACTCCTACAGTTGTAGCTTGTCTTTTAGATCTCCATCCCATGTCCATGTTATGCTGGACAGCGTGTTGCCTCAATGTGTAATATTGTCCATTGGGTTGAGATTGCTGTCCAGCTACTTTGCTACATTTTCATGTTACAACAACATATTTATTTGCAGTGAGGAATATGTCTAACATCTCCACTATGGCTTTTCTCTATTTAGAGGGAAGATTGAAGCAAACCTTAGAGAAAAACAAGCTAGTCTGATCTGAGATAATGTGAAACTTCAATCCCATGATGACCTAGTTCTGTTTTATCAGCTTTTAGAGGCAAAGTCCAACTGTCCAATGTTTTTGTAATTAAACAGGTTTTTTTGCTTGAGATGTGAAAAATACTGCTTCTTGTTCTCTTATAGTTTTGTTTTAGTAAGGAATTTAGCTTGGATAGTCCCAGGTGACATACATCATATTTCTAGCTTAAACTCTTCATCAGTTATACTTCAAATATCTAAAACAAAATATAGGAAATTCTGTGTTCCAGTAGTTTCTAGGTCCTGGTCTAGGTTTTGTCTTCTGTGTTCCATCAATTAGTAGCATCATTTGCCTGCTTTTATTATGGGAGCCTTTTCCATGGGAAGTACTCAAACACTGTAGCATATAAAACACTGGATGAGTAAAGAAGTTGAGTATTATGTGGATTGTTGTGACTACAAATTCATGCAAAATAAATGCAAAATTAGATAAATAGCATCTGCTGCATACTTCCAGTAGCAGTATCAGCACCTGTATTAACACTCCTTTTTCCAGCAATATTACTCAGTGCCTTCCAGTTCATGTGGTAAAATTATTTATTATTATTATTATTTGGAGACTGGATGGTCTAGAAGCAGAGTGAAGTTATCATAATGACAGTAGGTGAATTCTGGACATTAAAAAACCAAAAAATGACCAATCCAGGTAGACAAGACTTGATTTTATTAATAAAATTTGTATTTTCCTCTTTGAGGTGACAGTTACAAACTTTGGTTCAAAAATAGAAGAAAATACGAACAGCAAGAAGTTGACTTTTGAAATCTTATCTTTACATGTATAAACGTGCATGAGAAAGTACCAGTTGGAAATGAGCCAGCAGAAGCTAGTACTATTTAATTTAACAACTTATAAGAAACAGAAACAAACATTTATTTTCAAGTCTTACATATATTATGAAAAATAATTACAAAAGGATTTCTGCTGCAAAATTAAAATGCAATTTCTACTTACAACTACCTGAATGAAGTGTTCAAAGGGAAGGCCAAACCAACTTTTTTGGTGAGATTTGAATAGCAAATTTTAACAATTTGGGTCAAAGACAGCTCTGTAGAAAGCAGTCCCCTCATGTTGCTTAGCAACTATATAGAATCACATGACCTAGACATATTGCATTCCTGGCCTTCAGTTGAAATAACAGGAAAAATAATTTATATTAATGGGATGGGCAAATATTTTATAGGACCATTCTGTGGAACTTCTAATGTCCACTTCAGGAAGCAAACATCCATTACTGCTTACTAAAATTCTAAATAAACACTGCAAAAATCCATAAATAACTGTTTAGAATCCAGTAATCCAGTTTTAATATTTATGCATACCAGGTAAGCACAACAGGAACAAATTCACATGAGATACATTTGGGGAAGAAAAAAAAAAAAAAAAAAAAAAAGGAAAGCTATATGACTGATTAACTGATTTAATTCACACAGATTTAAACAGAAGTTTGTTTTTTTTGTTTGTTTTTTATTTATTTTTTTTTTTTTTTACTTATTCTCCCTGCCCAAAAATATAAATTTACTTATTTTAGGTATATACAGATTTTGTATGAAATTCTGAAATTAGAAAAGAAAATAAAAGGTCTGAGGTATAGCACCATGGAACACAACACCTTTGAAGGTGCTTTCAGTATTGAAATTCATCATCACATAATAATATCAGCAGAAAAGGGTATTTGAGTGTGCTCCTCAAGATCTTCCAGTTTTGCCACCTTAAGGTTTTTTGGCGACTTCAAATAACAAAGCTCTTCAACAACAATATATACAAAGGGATTTTATTATTAATCAGAAATTGAAATGGCTTCACTGGCAATTACAGCTTTATTTTTTCAGAATACATAAACAGTATTGACAATGTAGTTTTGTAGTTATAAAATAAGAGCCAGATGCAATTTAGAGGCACATGCAAGTTTTGCAAATGGACAGAGAAATAACAGTATAGTACTGTACATAGAATAATTACAATTTATTAAACACTTTCGTAACACCTCTTTGTAATCAAAGGAGCACCATGTCATTTGTTCTTTTTTTTTTCTTTTTTTAAACAGCACCAAAGGTATCCAAAGGTAGGTTGGGGCGTTGACAAAGTGAGCCCTATGTTGTCTGTCTGTGCCACAGCATCCTTGCAAAATTAGTTTAAGTCATGTGATTCTGGCCCTACAAGGGCAACAGTTACTTTCTAGATGAGATATAGGTACACAGCAAGACATATTTTCTATGCCATTCTTATTCAAAACTTGCATGTGGCATGAAGTAGGCTGGTAGCACCAAAGTGCCACGTTTTTGTTGATCTGATCTTTTTCTTAAATTTAACCAAGGAAGCAGACAGGACCAACCTCAAATCCAAACTTTTGGTTCTGATCGCCAAAGTCATTGATCATCACATCAACTATAGGCACTTGGTCTATTTTGGGTGTGTTGATTTCAATCACTGTCTTTGCGTAGCCCTTTCTTGACTGTTAAAAAAAAAGAAGCAAAAACAAACATATCAAAGGAGTAAGTATGCACTGTAGATCTTCATAGGCTACCTCTGAAGTTTGGAATTTATAAATGATTGCCTTTCATGCACCTGATGTTACAAATTCTAAATTTATTTTAAAAGTGTGATATGGAACATTTCTGATTTTAGAAAGAGATCGGCCCATGGCTTTTTGACTTATTAAAGCAAGCCTAGAAATGAAAAAACATATATAAGACATTTAACGTTCCTGAAAGAATTCACACCTATCCTAATTTCTGATAATATTCTTGCAGTAGTTAGGATGTTTTCCTTGTGAAGAAATCACTAATTAGTTCTGAGAGACAGAAGAAATACCTAGTTCTAAGAGGAAAGACTCTGTCTTACAAGACATTACATAAGCTTTTTGGACATGGAAGAAAATAGCAGTCTGTCAGGACTGATGCATTAGAGATGTTCGAAAGCACACTCTTAATTCCTAAAAAAGGCTTTCTGCCTTCTCATTATTTTAGTTATCAGGATTGTAGTTGCAGTTTCAGCTGCAACTGTTTTTCATCACATATATCTAATTCATCACATAGTTTCTAATATCGTGCTGTGTTTTGGTTTTAGGAGAAAAGCAAAAGGCTGTTTAGCTGCTTGCTGGGTTAAACTACAATAATTGTACTTCATTCAGATGGTCTCTTATGTCCTTCTGATATCATTCCACTTTCAACTATGCCAAGATGAGCATATCCAAGCTGGAATATCTGAATATTCTCAGATTAGTGGTGGAAGTTACACCCTAAATTGCTTACGTTGTCTCTGGAGCTTTACTCTCATTCACTGCGGGCAATGACAGCAAAATAAAGATACAGGACATAGAAAAAGACTGACATGAAACAGCTGTATATTATAATTTTGTTACTGAGAGGAGGAGACTCTGCCTTTATCTGAGTTGTTTCTCAGAGACAAATATGTATCCTACTACTTCCAGGTCTCATTTTCTGTCACTGATTTCTTAGGAACTCACTTCAGAATCCTTTCATATCAAACTACAAAATAATTAATGACGCTTTAACTACCATATTCCTCTGGAATGTTCTTGTTTTCAAACTATTCTGCTTCTGAAGAGAGCAGACTGTACTGGAGAGGTGGTCAGACAGCTGATGAATGTTTGGACTGCTCTTCGAATTTTAGTTGAACTTAGAGTGGAAGGTAAAAGATGCAATCCCTGAATTTCAGCTGGCTTTGATTTAAAAAAAAAAATTATATAGATAGATAGATAAGAGAAAAGGACATACAATGTTACCTAACTATGCAATTAGTTCACTATGTGTGGGTTCTGACTTAGTTCATACATATTTTTACTACGTTTCTTATGTTTATTATGACTATAAATATATTCTGCTCCTGGGCTGCTTCCTCTAATTATGCTTGTTTGCTTCTGTTCTCTTACATAGTGCTCGTACAAGAAAACAGTCTAGTTGCACATTGGTGCTGACAGCCTGTATCCATACTAGGTTTGTTCTATTTCTGTTGCTTGGCTTATGGTAATATTTATTATTTCTTGTACATATAAAAAATTGAATAAAGGGCTGCTGTATTCTAGTTAAAAACTACTAAAGGGCAGTCTATTAAAAGTTAAGTCTTTAGAAAGCTTTTCCCAGGGGACAGCTGTGCAAAAAAAAAAAATTTGTTTGATTTCTACTTTAATTGACAAGTAGGTTTTGTGAAGAAAATTCTGAATCTCTACTTACCGCGCAGCCATCGTGGAGGGCTTTGATGTAAGGATTGTTGTCATAAGACATCTCTTCATCATTTGATCCTAAGAACCTTAGTGCTTTGTCATAGCTGTCAGATGAGGAATCGTGCCAAGCTACAGACTGATGGCAGTTGTATGTGAAATTTTGTCTGGCAGAGGCGCTCAGTAGTTTAAGGAATGTCATTTGAACCATGTTAATGGAATTGCCTTCAACATCCAAATATGAAAGCTAAAAAACATAAGAAGCCACATGAATATTTATGTTAAAATGCAGAACAAAATTACTGTTGATGGAAGAGCCACATAACTGTCCTTAATAAAAAAAATAAACCATCACATCCCTTTTTAAGAGATTTTAAAGTTCAATAAAGCTGTAAGTCTGTAAATAGTTTCTCACATTTTAACAATATATTTAGGATACTTTTTTTTTTTCTAATGGGAAAGACAGGGATTTACCCTTACAATATCACGTCAAACAACAGAATCTCTTTGGGAATCTGTTTGTAGTTAATTAAAAAGTTATATCGGCTTGCATCCTCATTTTTCCATACTTAGTATGTTTCCAGTTATCTAGACTGAAGCAGGAAATCTGTACTCCAGCTGCTTTACTACAGTTAAGTGGTGACTTGTGGTCTGCCAGAAGTCAGATGCTCACCATCAGCTTTGCAGGTGACTGTTGGGATTGTTGTGCCTTTACAATACAGTACAGAGCAGGCTCCTGCTGACCAGTGGCAGGAGGCCTCGGAGCTACTCTTATATTTAGGACAAAAGGACCAAGTATGAAAAGTCTTAAGTTTGTTATTATTTCTATATTTTAAGATTCTTTGGGATCTGTTGAGCGCTCGTAACATGTACTTCATTTGTGAATAATTCTCTGTTGTAATAATCACTTACAAGTTTGCCACGCTTAAATTCGCTAAACCAAGATCCTGGATTCTCTTTTGGCCATGATGAAATTCTAACCTGTGTGGTAGAACAGTGCAGATGTAAGTATTTAGAAGATGGGTTAACAGATAAGAAGGTTTTAAAATACCTGGAACAAATTTCACGTAAGATATTAAAAAATGGCTCTTCTTTCAGTGTTTTCAGCATCTTTAAAAGCTCTAAAATAGAATGTTTTTCATGTATAGAATGTCTTCAGATTCATTACTTTGCATGGAATCTGAGGTCATAGCTTATAAAGAGAGATAATTCTGTTTAATGCATACATGATTCTTATCAGATGACCAGTGTAAATGACTGGTATAAACTGCTACTGTGAGGAGTATCTAAATTAAGAGTTTTAATTGGTTTTGATGTTGATATATCTATCTCTTTTTGAAAAACTTTTGAAAGCCATCCTCTACACTACATGCCCCTTAGAGGCTGTTTATACCGATGATAGTTTGTTTTATATCTACTTTGCCTAGATACAAATGAACCCACAGGAGAAACTTAATAAGAGTATAACTTTAGATGTCAAACTCTAGATTATGCATTTAAACCTGCTGCATAGCTATGTTGCATTCCAGAATGCAGTGAAAGTTTTACAAGGATGTGCATAAAAGCACTATCTAAGCAAAAGTAAAAAATGCCGTGTGTTAATTCTGTGCATCATTTTACTGCTTTATTCAGATTTATGTAAATTTAAATATAATCAGAAAGATACACATATGAAAAATGTGACAGTGTAATTATTCTGCTTATTTCAGCATTACAGTAGTATAGTGCTATCTGTCAACAGCCAAGTGAAAACACAGATTGGTACTTACTCCTTCAGATTTCTTATCTGGGTAGATGCAAGTTTCCCCACCTGCTGTGAAATTGCAGTACACTTTGAAGGAGTCTCCAGAACAACCCTGGTTAGGATCAATCCAATATTCCCCTAAAACAAATGAGAAAAGCCTTTGAAAATGTAAATGGTATTTGGAAGATGTAGATTTTTTACCTAATAGTGCTCCAGAATTTGTAGTGAAGTCATTTTATCTTCATGATGAGAAGACAACCCTTTCTTTTCAAAAACATCACAGAATAGTTGAAATTGGAAGGGACTTCTGGGGTTATCTGATCCAACACCACTGCTAAGAGACACGTAAAACATGTTGTCTAGTTGTCTAGGTCCATGCCCAGACAGCTTTTGAATATCTCTAAGTAGGGATGCTCTGCAATCTCACTGAGCAACTTACTGTGCTGCTCAGTCACCCTCACTGAAGAAGTGCTTCCTGATCCGCTGATGGAACCTCAGCTTCTTGGCTGTACATAACCCAGCAGTGTGTCCAGCTGGCTAAGACAGCCAACAGTATCCTGGCTTCTACCAAAACAGCACTGCCAGCAGAACTAGGGAGAGGTGAGTTTTCCCCTGTATTTGGCACTGGTAAGGCTGCACTTTGAGACTGGGAGGGGTCTGGAGCACAGTCTTATGAGGAGCAGCTGAGGGAACTAAGATTGTTTAGTCTGAAGAAGAGGAGGCTCAGGGGAGACTTTATTTTTCTCTATGACTACCTGAAAGGAGGTTGTATTGAGGTGGTGGCCAGCTTTTTCTCCCAGCTAACTAATGACAGAACAATACGAAATGCCTGAAGTTGCACCAGGTGAGGTTCAGGTTGGATATTAGAAAGAATTTTTTCACAAAAGGAGTGGTGAAGTATTGGAACAGGCTGTCCAGGGAAGTGGTGGAGTCAGTCACTGTCTCTGGAGGTATTTAAGGAAAGGGTACATATAGTAATTAGGGACATGGTTTTGTAGGCAGTAAATGGTGGTAGGTGAATGGTTGGACTAGATCTTCTTAGAAGTCTTTTCCAACCTTTATGATTCTATGAACCTCTTGCATTTTGGTTTGTGCCCATTGCCTCTTGTCTTGTCACTGGCACCACTAAAAAAAAAGAATCTTTATATGTATTTACGTATATGCATACATTTATATATGTGTACATTGCCTTGTGATCTGTTGCTTTTGTTGTTTATAAAAAAGAACACTGAGATCAAAGTCTATTTTTATCTACATCCTTTTGTTTTCATTTAATTCGATTTAAAACAATGACTATTGCAGAATACTGCTAAGGGGTAGGAGGAACTGCAGTGACTTCAGTATGGAGGAGGAAGGTCATAATGTATGAAACATACATTACAGGTATCAACAATTTAGCTATTACACTATTTCAGCTGAAGGATAATTTATACTTGTGGTAATAGAACTCTCAGTGCAGAGGCAGCTTTAGGCAGAAATAAACTATGGCCTAAGGCAGAGGTACATATTTGGAGTGATTTGCAAACCTATGTAGAAAGGGCCTGACTTTAGTTGTCAAGTACCTAAAGCTTCCATTCAGAGAAATGGAATTCTCAGGCAAAACTGTTTTTTACTACTGGGTTGTGAGGCTGAACACAAGTGAAACTTTGGACTGTTTTAGGTGATGAAAACACATTAAATAATGCATATTGAACTCAAATAGCAAGAAAAAGAGCTGAAACTTGCACGAATATAGTTTCAGCAGTCCTACAGGGTTGTGTTTTGGTTTGACTGGGATTGAGGTAATTTTCTTCTTGGCAGCTCATATAGTGCTATATTTTGGATTAACAATGAAGATAGTGCTGTAACACACCAGTATTTTAGTTATTAATGAGCACTGTTTACACAGAGTCATTTTCTGTTTCTCAAGTTGCCTGCCAGTGAGGAGGCTGGGAGTGCACAGCTGACCTAAGCAGACCAAAGGGATATTCCATATCGTATGTTGTCATGCTCATGAAACTGGGAGGGTTGGCAGGAGATCTGCTGCTAGTGATAGGACGTTGGTTGACTGTTAGTGAACAATTGCTCTGTGCACGTGTTGTTTTTTATCCTTTGGTTTTCTTTCTCTAGTTAAAGTGTATTCATCTCTTACTTTTGCCTTTCTGATTCTCTTTCACCCATCCAGCCATATTGAAGGTGGAGAGTGAGCAAGTGGCTGCATAGTGCTTGGCTGCTTTATGGCATTATAACACAACATACTGGCAGGGCTGAGCATACAGACTCTACAATGCTGGAGTGAATGAAAACTGGGGATGAAAGAGAGCTGCAGTCAATCCAGGGTCCACTAAAAATCAGATCTTTTAAAAATCTGCCATTGTAATTATAATGATTTCTGTGATCTGAGTACTTATCTCTAGCTAATTTCGCGGCAGGACAGCAAATTACTTTCTTACACTAGTGTTCTAATCCAGTTTTGGGCAAAAAGTGGAGATTTAGATGACGCATGGCAAATCCTTTCACTGATTTTGTATTTTAATACAGGGCACACTTTGCAAGTTCAGAGCATTTTTGGTATTTTAACATTCTGTTGATTTGGGCTGTGTTTACTGAAAACAGTTTTTCCTAACTGAAACTCTTGCCTCTGCAGAATTTTACATTTTAATGAATGTGTTTACTTTTATTTTAACCGGAATAAAGTTACTTTGATATGAAAAAAACTCCAAACAACAATCAAATACTGCTAAATGAAGAATACAAATGTGGTCTATAAAAAGCATTCATTATTATGGAGGTATTGAATTGTAAAATGTGTACTTTTCGTATAGCACATACTCTTCTAAACTATTCCTTATGGCAACCATCTGCATTTATCTATCTAGACTGATAGCAATAGAGTATTATTAAACTGTCAAAATCTGTTTTTTCTTCCATTTAAATAAGAAAAATATTGCTTTGAACTGGGAGAAAAAGTACCTATTGCAATAGAAAAGAAGTATGAAACCTAAAAAGTGTGCAACGGTTGGCTTTCACTTAAACTCTTCCACAGGATTAAAATCAGTTTGAAAAAAAGAAAGCAACAGAATAATTAAATGATTAAATAATTAAATTAAAATAGTCATTCAGAATACGGCCACTAATTTGTGCTACTCTGCATTTTGTGAAGCTAGTGCTTAGTAGCATTAAATGCTATCAGAGAAACTTGCTTATCCGTTTGCTGAATGATACAGAACAAACAGTGGTCACTCAGAAAGCCAAATTATTGTATCTAAGGATAAAAGAAATAATTTTTGAGAGACCTACTTCTTGTATTATACTAAGCTGAAGTATATAGTTACTAAATAATTTTCATTTCATTTAAAAGCTCTAAACTATCCCAGCACGCTGACGTTTGTGATTTTACTTCCACTGTTCTAAACAGCTTCAATCTTTCATCTCTTTCCTGTTTGGATAGTTCTGGAAACACTAAGACCACATTTCTAAACAAGCGCTGTTTTTAGCAACTTGAAAGTTTTATTTCTAAAACTAGATCCGGTTACTTATTTAAAGAATTATGGGTTTTTACCAACAGAATATGTCTTCACTCATGCTTTATAAACAGAACACTTTTATACCTGCAAAAATTGATTTAATGACATTGTTTATTTAGCCACTATGTTAACTATCTACCAATAATTAATGATACTACCCAAGTTTCTTATCAGATCATCACTTCAGCCTTGTTCGCCTTTGTCATGCAATATTAACATACCATCTGGGAAGTCTGGGTGGCAGAGCTGCAAGTCTTTGCAAGTTCTGGCTGGGTTGCTCTGAGTGCCCATTGGATACTTCATATGCTCAATGTCTTGCTTCAGTGAATTCAGTGAACCGAAGATCTCCTCCATGCCATCAGAATAATCCAGAATATTATCACCAGCATCAGATACCATGTAATCTGGAGATCTTCTAGTCTTTTTGGGTGACTGGATTGGCAGTGGCTGAATTACTTCACCTGGAGGACCCTGAATGGAAAAAATATAATCTTTTCTGTTGATTATCCAGCTGCATAAATATGGACAGGAAGACAACAAAACATTGCAAGGAGATGCTTTGGATAGGCTTTTTTTCAATTTATTTATTTAACTTATTTCCTTCTGATTTCCTTACACACACACACATACAAACAAACAAACAAAAAAAAAAAAACACACAAAAAACCCAGATTCTAGAACATTAAAGATTGTTTTGCTCTAAATTCTTCCCTAAACATTGCTGTCTGGGGAAGAGTATGTTACCCTCACATAAGTGTGTAGAACTTACTTGTGATTTCCTTAATATCTCCTGCAATTCCCTGAAGCAGAGGCATAGCCTGCAGCAAATAAAAACTGTGGGTGTTTCCAATGATAAAACTTTAAAATTACACTTAGGGTTTATAAACCAATATTTTATTTCAAAATTTGACATATTTCATTCAGATTTTCACTGTTTTCACTGTAGATTATTATGCTATGATAAAGAAATAATAGAAACAGAAAATAATTAACAGTGGGAAACAAAAGTCATTGCATTTTCTGTGCACAGATTTACAATCTGTGTAAATAATCATTAGAAATTTGTTCTTTTTTTAAAATGTCTAGCGGATTTTTTTTAGAGCAAACAATGTATTTCTTCCTCTGGTAGATTTGTGTTTCCTGACAAATTAATTTTCAAATAATCATCACTATTTTCTTTCTGTGTAAGTTCACAAGTGCCATTTTCTACCTGCACCAAAACAGGGTCATCGTAACAGCAGAATATGCTTGCATATCAAGAAACAGTTCCTACTTACTGGAGGACCAGGTGGGCCAGGTAAACCACTATCACCCTTCTGACCAGCAGGACCCTGTCAAGCAATGAGAGTAATGTGTTATTGACCATACTACTTAACATTAAAAAATAATGTATACACAGAAATGAAGCACAAAACCAGAAAATATGGAGAATTACTCACACTGGATCCTTTGGAGCCCTTTGGACCTTGGGGACCCTACGGACAAGAATATAAGCATATAGTTGGAATATATTCCGCAAAACACAGGAGTGTTTTGAATGGGAGAACTGGATGAAATTACTTACAGGTAAACCAGGAGGACCAGGGGGTCCAAGTGGACCAGCAGGACCAGAAATTCCCTAAGAAAGAATAAGGACAGAATTAAAGTATTTTTTGTATTGGTCTGAGTTAAGAAATGCAGATCTATTGAGAAAGGTAGTTCTACTAAGTGTCCAGCTCTAATTAGTTTCCCTTTAGGACATTTGCTAGGGTCCAAAATAGTTTTTCAATTTAAACTAATAATCTGACAGTTTTATTGTCATGCTCCAGCATTTGTAGTTACGACACTGCTCTCCTTTAGATAAATGTTAAAGCTTCATATTTTACAGAGAGCTTTAAAACATAGTTTAATAACCAGGAAAAGAGAGTCTGCTTTGGGTAGTATGTAACAAGACTGGTTCTGGTAGCTATCTGATACCTAACAGGTATACTGTTTCCTTCATACGAGTCTGTCCCTCATCAGCAGCCTGTGCTGTAAACTCCAGCTGGAGATTCAAGCTGGGTATAAATGTTTGTAGTAACTTCATGTGTCTCCTGCAAGAAAGACATACATGAAACTTGAATCAAAGCAAAAGAAAGTTTTACTTACGGCATCACCTTTGGCTCCGGGAGACCCCTGTGGGCCAGGAAGACCCCTATCACCCTTTTCACCTTGTTCTCCTGGAGGTCCAATCAGGCCAATCAAACCAGGATGTCCCTAAACAAGATAGAAGAAGGTAGAGTAAAAACTTGATACTTATGAAGCTGATGTGCTTTGTAAATAGAGATTAGAGCTTTCAAATGTCGTCAATTGTTTATTATCAATTCATTTGATATACTATTTTGTAAGTATATTCACTTTCAATAGTTGGCCTTTGGATTTGGAGATTATTATCAAGCTGTGTATAATTCAGTGAAAGATTTAAATGCAACACAGTCCTTTCTGAAATGCAAAAATAACAATAAAAGTGGGTACAGATTTCGTACTAATTTCCACACTTATATGCTAATAAGAATATTATTTGTGGAAACAGATGTGCTATTCTTATTACAGCTATATAAACAGCTGATCCACATATATAAGCAAAAATTGTAATTCATAAGATATGTTCATATTTCTTTCTCTATACATTTCTTTCCTGATATCCAAGCAATCAGTACAGGGTTGGGACTGTATTAGAAAATGGTATTCCTATTCTCTCAATCCATTATTTCAGAATAAGGTACTATAACTGTTAAATATTTACACCTTGTTGTTATATAGTGAAATCAATACTTTTTATTCCTGCCTATTGTAAAAGCAAAGGTTCTCTTTACATCAGTGTCCTTAGGGCTTTCATTGCAGAAAAGAGTCATAACATCAATAGATTACTGCAAAGAGTAATCCTTTCTTTCTACTTATCTCCAGGGTATCAGATGTTACTTAAAGCTTCATCATTATCATTGAGGCTATGGAAAGCTGACTGATGGATTATTTAGGGTGTCTTGCTTACTGATTTAAATTTAAAAAAAAAAAGAAAAAGAAAAAAAAGTGTGTATTTCTCTGCTGTTTTTATACAGACTTGTGTAGCAGGCCAAAATTACAAAGGCACAAACAAGGAACAAAGACGTTCTCATATACCTTCTCTCCTTTGGAACCTGGATCTCCTTTCAGTCCAGGCAAGCCAGGTGGACCCTAAATAAATCAAAAGAAGTAATGTAAAAGTAAGTTTCAACATACTGTACAAATCAAGTTTTCCTGAAATATTTTAAAGGTAGTATAACTACAAGGTCACTCAATGGATGATGGTTGTGATTCAGAACCCAAGATAACATTGGCATACATCTTTAGAATGCTGTAATACTGTTATTGTAGCATTTAAATTATTTTAGAAATCTGAAAAGGCTGTAATTATTAGAAATTTATGAAGAAGGAAAAGATCTAAATTCGTAAAATGTACTGCAAGCATCCAGGAAATTATGTGATAGTCAAAGAAATTTTCAATTGATTTTTTTGTTCATTAGCCTAATCTTGATTGTGGCTACATTATATGCTTTATTAGTATTTCCCCATAATTGCTGTACCTATCCAGTTGTGAAACAGTAGTATGTACTTTATGCCCTTTATTTCATAAGAGAATGGAAACAAGCCCTTAGTTTTTTTCTTCCAGGTTACTACAACTCAGTAAATGAGATTGCTGATAGTAACCGCTTCTCAATATTGCTTTGTTGAAGAACTACCTCATGCTTTGGTTCTGTACTTCAGATAGTGTCTTGGGATTACAATTTCCTTGATTTACAACCTGAAATTTCTGCATGACAGTGAATTATGCAGTTAAATTTTCTGAATATTCAAGTTCTTTCTACTCAACATTGCAAGCTTAACGACATCAAGTACGATAGCTCCAATGGTATGTACAAAAATACGGTTCACCAATATTTTGGTAAATGTGGTAACATTAAAAAAAAAAAAAAAAAAGGCAGCTCCAAAATAATGCCTCCCATTTTATTACACTGGCCTACACTATCAGAGAGGTGGTATGACAGTACAGGTTGAACCTTCCCACCAGTATTTCATTCCTTTTTGTTGCTGTGTGACAAATAGCAGCAGAGGGGCAGTCTGACAAAATGGCATCTGACCTAGGAGTGTGTCTGAAGCAAAGGTGTGTCCTTTGCTCCATGAGGAAAAAATTGCACTCACTGACATGCATCAACATTTGTTTGTAGACACTAGAGTGGATGGTAGCACAGTAAGGTGATAGGTGATGCATTTCAGCAGAGGTGAAGGTGATATGAAAGGCAAGCCATGTTCCAGATGGCCATGCACAGCCATCACACCACAAAATGAGGAATATCTCCATCAGCTCATCGATATAAATTGGATAATGGTGGTGGCTAGCAAAAAACGAACAAAAAAAACCAGTGTTTTGTAGCTGAGAATTTATCCATAGTGTTCTTATTCTCTTTATATCTGTTGTAGTTTTCATGGAAATGAATATAAGGCATTACTTTTAGAGGGGCCCATATACTCAGGTTTTGCAGTACTAGTGTAGCTATTCTGAACTCCGTTAGAATCTCCTGTACTCTCTCTGGGCCTCTGTTCCTCATCTGTTGTATTGGAAAAATACTCCTACCTTACAGAGATTTCAAAGTGATATCTTCTTATACTTTTTATAAGTATATTTATACGAACTTTTCATAAATAGTATATATGAAGCTTGATAAAATCTCCTTGCGTTTATTTTTTCTTCTCCAACTTAGTTTTAATTTTATTTCAATCTTGATTTAAAATTTTAGAGAAATTTTGGGAGATTTGAGGAATCTTCTGAGGTTTGTATATATAGCATTGCTAGTTTTCTATAATTTGCACAAAATAAAGTGAAAAATTCAGGCTTTGTATATGCAAGCATAAAAAAACGCATCAATTTCTCAGAGGCTATTAATCTCACACTAACATGAATGCATTAGCAGCAGAGCTGCTGAAGTAAGCTGGTAGCTCACTGCTAATAGTCTTGTGCTTGCAGTAGATATCTGTGAAGTTATGATACAAATAGCAGTAATAAGCGACCTTTTCAACCTGGCACAGTTTCAAGAAGTGCCAGAACATTCAATGTAAAAAATATTATTCAGTGTGTATTCTTTGCATCTGTACTTGAGAATATCATTAGATGCAAAAGCCTAAGCAAATACATAATTCATGAATAAAAGTTGAAATTTTAAAGCTTCTGGAATACGGAATCAGACATTCTCACCTGCACTGTGTTACTCTCTACTTCAAATCTGCTCTCGTACAGTTCTTCTGTTAGTAAAATTAGTGGGAGAGAGGGAAGGAAGGAGGCCTAACCTCAATAACATATAGATAGAAATTCTACTTTCTTAAAATCCAAAATGAATTCTAAGTTACAGCAATGCATCTAAATGGATTCTTGTTGAGCTGAAAGAAAGCCAGGGCATTTGGAAGTATTTTGATCATTCATACACTCAGCTTCAGATTTGAATTGAATAGCTAAGTTGTCAAATGTTGGAAGAGAAACCTTGATGCATTTGGAGCTTCTGGTGACTGACATGAGAAATGGTGGTTTATTACTGATGAATTCAGTACATTATTATTATTATTATTTCTTTTTAATTTCAGCAAGGAATTGTAACCAAGGAGATTTCAGTCCCATTATTTATGTGCTTCATGCCATTCATTTGTAAGTCAGGCAAATTATTTAAGCTATTCCTTTATTGAAAGCATAAACTCTTTAGGGAGGGTATTTATTATGGATTTAGCACAGGGCAGTCTTTTCAGTTTTTCTCTCTTTAATTAACATGATGGCCATAAAGTTTGGATATTAATTTCTGCACAACATATTGAATATGAACATCAACATTTTGTGCCCACAATGTTGGTTTTTTTAGCTTTATAGAAAAGTTCACTAAAATAGCAAGTGTAGATAGAAATAATGATATAATTTGGTAGTATGTTATGTTACCTAAGAAAAGTAATCTGCTCTAATCATATTAGAAACACATAGCAAAATTTGATTACTTTGCATCAAGCTAACAGAAATGTATTTTGTCTCAGTTTGACAGCAGTTAGGGTAAGGGTAAAGCTAATTTAGAAAGCTGTACATTTACTGTAACTTGTAACTTGCCTTACACTGCAACCAGACCACTAAGAGTACCTCAATACATGCTTTAGTACTAACAGGTTGCTGTCAAATTTATAAATCAGAAATGATATAGACTCAATTCTAGCTGAAATGATAAAAACATCCTCATGGAAGGTGAATTTGGTTTTATACAACAGTATGGCTAAAATAAGTTTCATTATTATACTCATGGGAGCAGCCAATGTTGCTCTGATAACTATTTTATCTAATGTCTTCCTGTTTGATTTGTACTGCTCATGTATTAGCAATGATAAATATTTTATCACAGCTGCAGCACTCAATGCCTACTGCAATGTTATAAAATAATGTTAATGTAAAGAGCAATAATATAACTTGAAAGCATGAAGAAAAGGAGAATGGCAAGCTGAATGGCATTATATAATTCATTGGCATTGTTGGCAACCAAAGTTGATATTGTGGCACTGCTATTTTGTGCTTCACAGAAACATGATATCCAGCTCTAACTGATGCCCTAGAAACTGGGAGCTCGTTTCACTCAGATCCTTTTAAATACTTCACTCACGTATTATATTTCCTGGGTCTGCAACAGTGAACAATGGACAGGTCACTGTTCTTGATTTTTACAAAACTAGCGTGTTTTTTTCTGATGTAGAAGTCTCTTTTTGGGCTTCTAACTTATTTATTTTTTCTCTAATGTATAGGTATGATCTAATATTTTACCCCAGGAATAATGTTTTCACAGGCGGTCACTAAAATCAATGCATCCCAAAAAATTACCACTGGAAAGGAAACAAAAAGATTTAACGTGTTAAGATTTGCTGATGTGGGGGCAGAAGTTTTACACTACCTTATTCTTTTCAGCTGGTATAAATCAGCTGCATTCAACACAGTTGCCTACTAAAGTAGAGCAGTAGAATGAAGCAAGTATCAATTTCTGACAGGGTAGAAAAATAGGAACTTTGTGCTAGGAACTGGCTTACACATTTGTTTTTCTGTAATACGCACAGACATGTTAATGGTGTGTTTTAAAGGGTGCTTTTTCTGTTTTGGCACTGAAGAGAAGCATACTCACCAGAGGCCCAGGAGGACCATCCTGACCTGGTGCTCCAGGTAGACCTTGTTCTCCCTAGAGAAAATATAAAATTAGCTTTACTGGAGAATGTACAACAAATGCAACATTTAAAATATTTTATGCTCAGTTTACTCACCACAGGGCCAGGAATGCCCCGGAGACCTTCAGGGCCAGGTTTTCCTGCTGGTCCCTGAGGACCAACTGGACCTGTCTTTCCAGGAGCTCCTTCTGCACCAGGTTCACCCTAGAAAGAAAGAAGAGGTCAAAAGGGAATAGTTGACTAAGCCTGGCATGGCAGCTGTAAAGTGAAAGTTTCTTTGCTCCGTTTTTCAAAAGTTATTCCAAAACAGTGTTCTAGAATGTTTTACTAAATGAAACAACGACAGCTTCATATAAGCCACAGGATGCCAGCAAATCATGCTTATCCTCATTTTTCACAGGGGTGAGTTAAGTTGGGCCTGCACTAGTGAGAGTCCACTACATAGTCTGTTATGTAGTCTGTTACTGCTATTAATTTTGGATCTTAATTTGGATTTTACCATTTACCTGTTGCTATTTTGATAAGTTTCACACACTCAGTGACTAATAAGCAACTTACTTTTAATTTATAAATAGTTCATTTTTTCATGTCTCTTAAAATACAATTGCATATATTACCTTTGCACCTTTTTCACCTTGTCTGCCTTCAGCTCCAGTTGCTCCAGGAGGTCCCTGTGAAAGAGGAACACCAAGCTCATAATCTCAGTTCTCTAAAATATTTCCACAGTGGAAAAAAAATCTGTAAGTGTCATTATCAGCATTATTAAGTAGTAACTACTTTAAAAATTACATTTGTTTCTTTACATTTTATTCACAGAATGAAAATTCTGTTCTGTCATATCAGCTCTTTTTTCCTTCATAAATTTTTTGGGGATCTTATAGGATCTAAAAGAACATGCATTACTTAACACCTCTGACAGGATAAGGTTAAAAACAAAGATATCCTTTGGAAAAAATAAAAACAGAAAATAAAAGTAAAATATGTATTTACATTTACAGTAAGAGTTTTAGACTCCCTTCTCATTGTAATATTTCTATGCATTGATTCCAAAGATCTGTCATTATACAATGCCAAGAATGGCACATACTTTATTCTCTAAGTGAGGGATTGGCCTTTTAATTAAAAATCGGTACGTGCCTCAATATTATCCAATAAATATGAAAGAGAAAAAAAAAATAATCAGATGACTAATGGCCATTAGGATGAAATAAAGATGTTAACTACAAAGAACTCTCGGTAGTGGGTTTCCTGCTATTGCTCTACAAAAGCTCTGTTTAACTAAGGGAGAACATGGTACTGAAGGATGATACAGAAATGGAATAAGGTTCAGATGAAGGCCATAAGACAGAGCTTGCAATAGTCCAGCATCACTCTGACTACCTGTTGCTGACATCACCGATCCTTCATCTCTTAAGGTTTCAATATACTGGGAAAGCTACTTCTTGCCAACTAATGAGCAGCTTAAAGCAAAAGGAAAGTTATCAAATATTACGTGATTTTCTGAATCTATAAACTAACAACCTAAAAGTCATCTATTCATTAATTTAACAGTTTGTAATACAGAAAAAAAATGCCCTAAGAAATAGCAATTAAAAAAAAGCCAGTAAGTGTCATTGACTTTTTTTTACTTTATAGCAATAGGTGAAAAAAAATACAGTAAAATAAATCACAAAACATTCTTAATTTCACGGTATCCTTTGTGATCTAAAATCTCACTTTGATTTTACAGCAATTTTTTTATATGACAGCTGAATTTACTCCATACTTTTTACAGCCTGATATATTTAATAGTCCACTATTATTGAACATATACCTTGAACACAATTCCAACAGATTTAATTCTGGAAAATTTACATTCATTTTACAAGTATTTACATAAAAGTATATTAAAATAATTCATTTGATTATAATACTAAGCTTTCTCTGTGGTGGAACTGAACATCTGCAGTATTGTATTAACCTTTTTGGCCAACAGAGGTAGTTCAGGTTTTCCATCAAAGATAATGCAAAATGAACCGAATTACCCACAGTGGACTCTGGTCATTTGATGTGGCTCTCAACAGATTGTTCTCTTGGTACTTATAAAGAGTACAAGTACTAAAGGACTTAATTTTACCTCTTTGGAATACAGAGAAGTTAAAAATACCTGAACATTGTGAACCACTTGCTGATTCTTTTTGACAGGAAGAACAATTTACGTGAATAGTGTATCAGTAATAATCTCTGATGCACATACTCCTTTGCACAGCTTGTAACTTTGAGTGGATCACAATTTGCAGTGATAAGAAGAAAAATTATTGGCAGCTATATAAATAAACTCAGGAATGTTTTAGAAATAGGATGGTTTTTTTATACACGAATTAATTTATGTGTTCATGCTCTTTACTGCTCTCCTTTCATTCAGTTTGGTGTGTCAGCTACAATCTACCTTAGCTAAGAAACTAAATATGTTTGTGTGGTAGTTTGTATTTGAGAAATATGATCTCTTAATAATCCACAAATGCAGCTGCATTTGAAGTAGCAGATCTAAAAATCCTGTGATCACTAAATTAAAAATACAGCGAATCAAGACTGCTAAACAAAGAGGGTACATTCATTACTAAACAGTGCCAGTGCTGCACTATGAGTAAAGCAGCCCAATGAACTGTGCCTTCTAACAGGGTGTAATGGCTGGCATGGCACAGATGTTGTTTCTACACTGAAAGACTGCTAATTGCTATTTAACTTGCCTTCCTCCACTTGAATTTTTCGAGTGTCTAATAAATTTTAACTGACAGAAGATCTCAATATCAGTAATTTATAATAATGCATGGCTCACCAGTCTAGCTGCCATGGTAACTGTTAAGATTGCTACACTACAATTTGGATGTGTTGCCTTATGCAGAACTGAAAAGACAAAAGAACTCATGCAGTATGAAATACGTCCTCAATTTTTCTTACATTAAACTGTTGGATATTTTGTTTGCTCTTCCATATTTAAGATTTTCATTAAAATATTTTAATCTGTTGTCTGTATCTACTGGCCATCTGACTAAAACCATGATTTCCAATACAGTAAACCATGGAATATTATAACCAAAATGGAATAAAATCTTCATAGTAATATATGTATTTTTTTTTTCCAAATCATTCAACATTATCTATAAAAGGAATTAACCAAATAACACTCTGCTTTTCAAATTGTAGAAGTTTTCAAGTTGGCTATCTTGTGGAGAATTGAAACCTGTTCTTATATTGAAAGCAGGCACTATATACTCCAGTTTAGAACAAAAATGTATCTGAGACTTGTTTAAATTCTAACATTTTTAGCATAATATATAGACCCTTAAATGTATGTGATCTAGACACCTAATTGACTTTAATGCAAGCAGCAGAAAACACAGCTGAATGACCTAACACACTGAAGGGCTATGTTTATTTGCACCATAGCTATTTCAGTGTATACAGCCTTATCAGCAAGTATTTTTTTTTTTATTTGGTACAGCAGTGATCATTTCAGAAGTCATAAACTTTAAAATATTATGAGTTAGTTAAAATTCAGTAATATCTGTAATCACTAATGGACTTTATCAATACTGTCATAGGGTTTGCTGCTTCTAGATTATGTTTTTGGAATTTGAATGTATATACTTGAACTAGTTCTTCATCTGAATATGGAACTTTGTTCTGAAGATACACTGATCTGTCCCTTATAAAACTGAAAGCATTTATGGTAATAGAATTTTCTGAAAAGCAGTCATAGAAATATTTTTTAGGAGGAGCCATTGATAGGTCTGAAAAAGTAATGTATTCATTACAGTACACATTTGTGGATGCTCTAATGATCCATTTTTGTGTCAGCCACAGACTTTAAACTTTTCTTTTGATTAAGACCTAACCTGAGTGCTCAGTAGCATGCTAGGGAATTTTATCTCTTCAGAGGTAAACATGAAGGAACATGCTCTCTGACATGTAGCTCCAAAATTTTATTAAAAGAATTCACCACGCTGCTTGTCCATTACACCCTTGCACAGATTCGGAGCAAAGCTCCTGCTGTTATGTCAAAGCCTTTAGAGCATCACAGTAAAACAGTTATTTGCTTATTCACATCAATAACTTGGAAGAAATAGTTTCTTATTGGCCTTCACTTGATAGTTGAATGTCACTGTAACTATATAGCTGAGAGTCTCATAGGTACATTGGGAAAAGCTTTTAAGTCCTGTGCTAGAAGTTAATTCCGAGAGAAAGCTAGGGGAACCTCTTTGGAACCTGCAATATTAGATGCAGACTGCTCATAACTTTGGAAACTGACAATAAGCATAATTTTCAAAGAGTGGCCAGTGAAACTGAGTTCAAATCTGATCCAAAATACATGGGAAGATGGGAATGAAAATGAATGGCAATAAATAAGGAGATCATACAGTTGAGGCACTTGAAGAGCTACGCTTACAAGTTTGAATCCTGATCTCTGTCAGCTTGTCATTTTGGAGACAGAAAAACAAAGATACAAAAAAATAGGTGGTATGTTGCTTTGCAGTAATATTTCCAGAACTGCACTTCAATAATATCAATCTTACTACTGAAATGGTGCATCTGGATGAAATGACACTTCCTGGGGCTTTTTGTTGAAACTGGTTTTATCATGCAACTGATGAAAGCTAACAAAGTACATTTTTTTCCATTCTTTCTGTCAGCAAAGTAACAAGCCTGAAGGCCTTTGCTGTATTTCTCTAGTAGAACTTCAATACAATACAGAATCCCTACAAGACCAAATTATTCAGGTACTCAGGTCATATAGAATCTGACTCTATAAACTATTTGCTTCAGTATTCAGGAATTAGATATTTTATGACAATATTTTTTTCTTCACACTATTCATAAACTAGATTTGTATTAAAATGTGTGACATTATATTTGAATTTTTAATTTTTATCTAGCTACAGATAGTAATATATACTACTTATTAGGAATGAGATACTGCCTTTCCATATAATAAAATAGGAAGTTCTAGTCTGATGTAGAACAAACATACTAATTGAAATATGGATTGACTGAATATTAGCAGTTCTAGTGATAAGGTTGTTAATGCTACCATAATTTTTTTATAGTATTATAAATGTTTTGTGAGTTTGTAGAGCAAACAGGTTACTGTGTAAAATAGATAAAACCAATGAGGCATGTCAGTTCACTTAAGCCCATTACACTGAGCAATCTAACACATTTTGTTAAATAGCTCTCAGCTTAAATTCAATGATGCTCCCATCTTTTATTTTAAAGCATAAAAACAGCATCCAGGCACTCTCTGAAACAGACCTAAAGGGTGGTGCATCTACCTACTACAATTCTGTAAGTATATTATCTACTGTTTTTGATTATCTGTATTTGTAAAGCCCGTAAAGCTTCAAAAATTTCAGAAATAATGAAATCTCTTCATAAGCTACGGAAATGTCTCACTGTTGATGTTATAAGTCAAAGGGATGAGAACAATTTTCACTAAGTTGCATTTAAATTATTTCATAGGCTAAAGACACAAAAGCAGTCACTTCCTTTCTTATCCCTGCCAGCAGTCATGTACCCATGGATGATGTGTTATTACTCTCATTGTCACTCACTCCGATTAGTAGGCTAGCAAAAATTCCAGGTTTTTTTTACCCTATCACATACTGAATTCACTTGAGAGAGAAAAGAAGACAAATCACAACTACCGACATTGAATATATTCATTCCTATATCTTTTTGTTCTTGAGGCTGATCATAGAAATTCTTCTGAGCTCTAATAAGGAGTTACTGTGAGAGGACTGGCTTTAACTCTACTGAAATAAATGAGAAAAAATAACCAGAATGGCCAGATGTGCTAATCCATTGAATGGGCTGAGTGTGGACGTGGACTCTTCTGCTGTTTTCCAAGTTCAGGCTGTCTGCAGTTGCTAGTTCGAAACCAATGAACACAAGATTTGTCCATTGTCAGTACTTCACTGGTAACTGTACTCTCAACTCTAAAATCTCCAGGTCTGCAGTTGACTTTCTGATCTCAAGCTGTATACATACGACTACATCAAACATACGCTTAGAGTTATTTTCCTCATGATTTGTATTCCAGGACATGCTATATATTTTAACAAATCTATTTTCAACTGAAAGTCCTTTACAGGACTCATGTTAAAGAGTTTTCTCTGCTGTTTGCATTTTTTTATTTCTCATGTTATTAAAAGAAAACTTCATATATGAAGCATCACAAGATGGAAAACAGCTGAAAGACTCTAAAATATAATATCTTCGAAAAAGAGATGTACTAGAGGCAATGAGAAATGACTTACTCTCTTTCCAGGTGGACCAGGTGGGCCAGCTTCTCCTGAAGGACCAGGTGGACCCTGCAGTGGAAAGCAATAGGCTCAGAGGTAACAATATATAAAATCATTTTCTTTCTTAAATGCAGTGAATATCTACAACATCTCTTTTAATGGACAGAAAATAATTATCATACGGAAGTGATACTTGCTTAATCAGCAAGTCCTTTCTTAGAGTCATCTTTTGCAGTTTTCAACAGATTTTGTACAAAATGCAACTACTCTTTTTTTCTTGCTTAAAACAGAACACTTCATCTCTGGAAGTGTCTGCACAAAGGTAATGTACAGTCTACTGACTAACTCGATTAAGAGTATTTCTTGCTTTCTCAGGTGCTGAAATTGTTACTTTTCCTGTATTTTTTACTAGCTTCTGTAAGTTAGCTTCCCAGTAAGTCACCTTCTATTGAAAATATTCTGCACTGACAGCCATTTGTCTCCCCCACATAGGTATGCTGTGATACCCTTTGAAATATTTCAGGTCTACTGAACAGTTTGATAAGTTTTTCTTCATGAGCATAACATTCTAAAAGTACTTACTGTGAAGTTAGATATACAGATGCTCATCCTGAACTTTTCAATTTAAACTCTGGTTTATTACTTAGTTCTAACCATATGTTGAATTACTAGCATTTTTCTTTCACATTGTACTGCATAAAATATTTTCCTGATAGTCAGAAATTCCAGGGCCGTAAACAGAGTTTCCAAAAAGGAAGACCTAGCTTTTTGCAGTAAAAAATTAAATTCACGATGCTTCAGTGTAGGAATCTCCAGAATGCTAAGAGCACTGATTAATATTGCTTATGTAACTCTTAGACTTCACATGAAATACAGTGGAAACTCCAAGATTAAGATTCACTTCATAAAGTGAGCTAATGAAGACAATTTGTCTTCAGCATTACTTTTTGTATACTAAGAGCTGCTCTCATTTTAATGCATCTCAGCATTAAAACAAACTATTTCTCCTTCTTTTGGTTGTATCTATTATATAGGTAAGTCTAATTCTGCAAGGAAATAAAGAGATTTTTCAGTACAATATAAAAAGAATCTGTTGAGAAAACATTTGTTAGAGTATGAATCTATAGAAAACACTGATTCAGCTAAAAGCACTTTCTCAGCACACGGGAAAATGTAGCCAAAAGAAAATGACAGAAACAACTCACAGGTTGACCAGGATCACCATCTTCGCCCTTCTCTCCACCAACACCATCTTGACCCTACAGAAATCATGTGAAAATAAACAAAAGATACAAATTCAGAAAAATTCAGTAACTTTGTTTCAAAGATGAATACTAGTTTTCTGAAGAGAATTTTCCTACAGACACTCATTTTCAAAACTTTTTAGAAATTTCTAATTTTTTTTTTTGTTGGATTGAAGAAATATATGAATAGCCGAAGCAATTAATCTAACAGGAAAAACCTCCTTTCCAAACCAAGAAGAGATGGCAGTAACTGCAAGTGAATGCAGACCAAATCCAGGACCTAAAACTGCTTTTCAAACATACTTACAGCTGGACCGGGCTCTCCAGGGGGACCAGGATCTCCAGGAAAACCAACCGGACCCTAGGTAAATCAGGAAAAAAACAAGGAAGATGTCATGCACAGAGAAGCAGGTAACAGTCATCAGAAATATTTTGTTAAGAATATGATAAATTTAGTTCCAGTGTTAGTTTAATCTGTCGTTCTATATGTAGCACAGTTTCAGCAATGTTATGCTGTGCTTTGTGTTAAAATTATTAAGATTACTTACAGGGTTACCCTTAGGCCCATCATCACCTGGAGGTCCTTTAGCACCTGGTGGTCCAGCTGCTCCAGGTGGACCAGCCTCACCTTTTTCTCCCCTTTCACCTTTTGGACCCTGTAGGAAACACATGAACAAAAAAATATTGTCTGAGAATTGAATGGCTAAAGAAAGATTACAGTGGCAAAACTGTTTTTCAGATCTGGGCAATGTTATTCCTCATTAAATGTTGGTATGTGAATGGGATATTAGGCCCTCAGCCTCAGATTGGAAAACCTCTTAATCTCAGGTCTGAGTGCAAACATCTGCAACCAGATGTGAGCCTGAACCTATTTTGCATCAGTGAATTGCTTCCATAGAGAAAAAATATGCATATCAAAGATAGTGCTCTTTTAAGGAAGTCTTCACAACTTTGTCACATCTTACTATAAGATGTGGCTATAGTTTAAGGAAACAAATTGCATTTCAATATTGTAAGAAAGGTCTTCACTGAAAATTTAAACACAAAAACACAAGTAACCTCATTAAATGCTTCTTAAAGTAAGCACTACCTTATGTTTTTGTTTATTGTGATACAGGTTAATAAGACAAAACCAAAAGACTCACAGATGTTCCAGATTCTCCAGGAGGTCCAGGGTTACCAGCTTCTCCAGGTTCACCCTATACATGTGTGAGGATAAACTGATGAGTCATTAGGTAGACATTAGATATTTGTATGAATTTGCTTCTGTTATTACATATTTTTTTTGCATGCTTATTCATGATAACAGCTTACAGGAGTTGTCTCTTATTGACTCTACCTAAAGGCAATTGGGACACGTGTTTCTGCAGAAGTGGAATCTGAAATTTTAGAAACAATTTTTCAAACTAAGCTTCTGATGAGAAGGGAGACTGACTTTCCCTTCAGGCTTTGGAAGATATTCCTCTTTATTATCCCATATATTGCAAATTTCCTGTTTGTCTTTTTCCTTCCTAGGCACAGAAAGGTCAAAGAAGTGTGCATGTGTGTGTGTATATATATATATATATATATATATTTCTCTATAATATGTTTTTTTGGCTAGAGGCAAATCCCTACAAATATGATAATACTGATTTGAAATTAATTTTAATAAAGCAGAAACATTATTGCTAGAGCTACTGTTAAAATAAATCATTATATAAAGAAAAACATAAAATAATAACATAATAGCATAAAGTTAGTAAAACTTTGATCACTGGTCACAAAGGAATATGTTATGTATTTACTGGTGATGGAAATTATTTAATATATCAGATGGCTTTGAGAAGAACACAATACAAAGAAAATCTATACAAAATCTATTTATATCTCTATATAAATACATAAATATATATATATAAATCTCTCTCTATAAATATATATAAAGATGATATTCAAGGTAGTAGAGATACTCTATCTAGCAGAGTCTGCAGTGTAGACTAAATTCAGTACAGCCCTTCAGTAGAGGGTGTTCATTGTAGGACTAATTGAGAGACTTAAGAGCACTGATTGTGTCAGGTCTTGCCTGACAAGCATCCCTGCCAGTATGAATCCCTTTTACGCTTCTCAGAGAGTAAGTTCATTTCTGCCTTCCTGACAAAAGATTTTTAAATTTATGATTCACATTTGATTTGAAAGCAACTCCTTTACCCTTTGACAAACTCATCTTCATTTTATGATATTTTGCAATGAGAGAAAAGATGGGCTTTTTCTGACTTACTGACCTACACAGTCAGTCAACACCTGTGGAGAACACAGTGCTCCTAGGATCTCAGGGATCCCTGCTATAGCACACATGTTGAAATTGGCAGATGGAGGCAGCCCACGTGAACTCACTGCACAGTAAAACCATAATAAACAGCAATGTGGAAGAAAGCAAATGTAGAAGGGCAAGGAAACGTCAAGATGTTCTCCTCAAAGGACACGTGTGGAAGGAGCACTTGTGTAAGATGAGATCAGTTACAGTTTAATCTGACATTAATCCTTTAAAATCATATACTGCTTTATAATACAGATATGACTCTTCCCACATGCAGTCCTTGCTTTTTTCACATACTGTTTTTTATGTTACAACTTTTAAGTATTATAAAAGGTTGCAACTGTTACAGACAGCTGGCAAGGGAATTAAACAATGTTTTGATAGACAAGATTGTAGCTGATATATATTTACAGAATATATATTTATGATTATCAAAAACTTTGTCTTTCATTGCCTTTTTGATAAGGGTAGTATTAATTCAGATTCTACTTCATTTCCTCCATAGGAAATATTTCACGTTCAGTTGGGAAATAGATTTTATGATCTAATAGATATATCCCACCTCTGGATTTCTTTTTCATTTCTTTTTGTCATCAGGCCAGATCATTTAAATGTTAGTGCTGTCCTCTGACAGAATTTCAGCAGCAGTGTCTTTAGCAGAAATTCTCAACTACAAAGCATCATGTCATTTCACAGAAATGTTCAGTTTTAAAAGCTCCCTCGTATTATGTGAGCAGAATGATTTATATCAAGCTAAGGACAGTAGTTTAGAAGTCTATTTTATTATTATAATTTCTAGAAAGCTGTCCATTGAAAGCACAGAGACACAGTAGATGGAAAGCTGCCACCTGTCAGTTAATTTCTGGAAAACAGCTATTGATTTTCTAAAAATGAACACCCTTTTAACTGACTGAGTTGTGAAGAAGTTTTGGTTACTCTTTTATTCCTTTTTGCCACCCTCACAAAATAAATAATAACAAAAAAAAAAATGATAATAAGAGAAGTGTGGCTTTAGGAGACAATCTTTTGTCACATAGGTATATGCATGTGCAACTGTTCTATGTATTAGGGATCTGTGGAGAGGTAAATTTAATCAAGAAAGAAATTCTATAGATGTGTTATATTTTTTTGGAAGGGCTTACAAGCAAATTGGAGGGTAGGGAAGGAAGGAAGGAAGGAAGGAAGGAAGGAAGGAAGGAAGGAAGGA